AGCCCTGTGGGATAGGCCAGGTCAGGAAACAGAAAAAAATATTAGGATGCTGATTTAGCAATATAACAGAATTTGAAAAGCCTGTCAGCATTTCCTCTTTCTTTCTTGTAGACCAAAGAGAGTCCAGGCGGGGCAGCCTTGAGTTTCTTTCCCGCACTGTCCTCTATGCCTGGGTTAAGTTCGTGTTTTCCTGAAGGTAGCATCCTCTTTTCTTCGAGGCCCTTTCTGTACTCTACAATGAGAGCCAGTGCGGCGTAGTGGTTAAGGTGATGGATTAGCACAGGGGACAAGTAGGTTCGGGTCTTTCTTCAGCCACGGAGGATTATTGGGGACTTTGGGCAGGGGGTGGACTAGAGGACCCCTTAAGATCCCTTCTACTTCTATGACTCTCCAACCCAGCCTGCTTCTTAGGACAGTTCTTGGGTGAAATTTGGAGCAGCTAACACCATACATCCTTCCTGAGTTCCTGGCGGGAAGCAGAAGTCTAAATCATTTTTAAAAGGCCGTACGGTAAATATACCTGAAAGGCTAAACTCAGACCAGGGACTTTTTAGTTTTGCTGCCCAGTGTGTTAGCTGTTCTACTCCACCACTCACCTTTTATTCCTGGCCGCACGCTCAAACCCTTGGACCACCACACAAGTAGCAAAGGTGAAAAAGTACCTGTGAGTTAAATAGAGAAAGATATTGGGCCATTGCTCTAAGACAGTGTTTCTCAACCTTTGCAACTTTAAGATGGTTGGACTTCAACTCCCAGAATTCCCCAGCCTGCATCCTTTAAGATGTCTGGGATTCAACTCCCAGAATTCCCCAGCCTGCATGCTCTAAGATTGGTGGACCTCAACTCCCAGAATTCCCCAGCCAGCATGCTTGCTGAAGTCCACCCACCTTAAAGTTGCCAAGGTTGAGAAACACTGTTCTAAGTCCAGGAGAACCTGCAACCCTCAGATTCCATCATCCTGGTCCTGCAGGGTGTGGATACTGGGAGCTGTGATTCCACAGGAGATGAAGGACCAGTTGCTTTCCATTCCAAATCTCTAACGGGGAATGCTGACTACCTTTTCCCAAAAAGGAAATGTGATGGCGATGTACAAAGCTGAGCAGGTAGCTTTGCTCAGCAGAAAGAAGACCGGGACAGAGAAAAACTCACAGCTTTTGCAAAAATGTGTTCTTCAGATTGGTGCTGGCGTGAAAGAAAGCAGAGATTTACTTCGGACAGGGGCTGGGGATAGGAAAGGCTGCATTACTTGAGTCGGTCTAGAGAGGCTGAGGGGCTGCAGGGCCCTCTCCTCTGTTATGGAGAGAAAGCCCATCAGTCAGATCCTGAATTGCAGAGAAGAGAAAGGGGGCTGGATTGAGAGGAAAGAGAGACAAAATCCACCAGAAAATCAGCCTAAGGCACGTTATCGACAGGCGTGCAAAGGCTTTGGGGCAAGGAGAAGAGAGGGAAACACAGAATCCCTCTGCTACTTGCCTCTACTTTTAGAGCAGGGGCTTCCACACTTTTTCAGGCCACAGAACATGCTCAATAACAATAAAACTTGTTCAGTAAAACCCCTGGATCAAGAGGCAGAGGTCCGGTGTTTGAAAACAGACTGCATTCAAGCAAACTTTTCCCAGGTTTGCTCTCACCGAACATGATCGAGTTTTTGCAGAAACGTAGTCTGCCAAACCCTGGTCTGGAGGTTTATTTGGTGCAGGCAAAGCAGAATTCCAGCATTGAAAGAAGGCCCCCATCCACCCCCACGCAGAATATGAGCCCCGCTGCTGTACTCACTGGAGATAAGCATTCAGGAACAGGTCCGCCTTCCAGACAAGGTAGACCTCAGGGACCCCGACGGATTCGGATGTGCTGAAAGTTTGCTTCAGCGTCCTGTAATTCTCCTCCGTCAGCTGCCAGATAACTTGGAAGCGGTCGTTTAACAGCAGAAAGACCTTTACGTTCTCAAAGGAACCTTTGAAGACAGAAATCGGGACTCTCCTAGGTGAAATGATCCAGCTAGAAAAGGGGGAATCATCCAGAAGGAAGGGAGGACGGGAAATGTGGTGTTCTAGGATATTTTAACGACAATGTGGTTGATGTGCAGCAGAGGACGCTACCGTGATGGACATGGATGATCCACTGGCCTCAAAGTTAATGTTTTTTTTTCTTTTTCCTGTGTGCCAAAACCAGGTTCAACATCACGTGGACACCGGGAAGCTTTTGCCTAATTAAAATTAAACACCTGGATCCGGGCATATCTGCCTCGTGAGTGAACATAGAGATAGTCCTCGGGTTATGACAGCAATTGGGACCAGAATTGCTACCACTTAATGATAAGGTTGTAAAGTGCGACGCCACGTGACTGCGTCACTTAGCAATGGCAGTTCTGGCAATCCCAGTTGCTCTTGTTAAGTGAGGACCACATGGGTCATTCAGTGAGGAACTCACGTGATTGTGACTTCCGACTTCCTGCTGGCTTCCCCACTGACTTTGCTTGTGGGAAGCCAACAGGCAACGTTGGAAATTGAGACCATGTGACCATGGTTTGCTGTGACATTGTAATAATGAGCTGGGCACCAAGCGCCCAGATCGTGATCACGTGATTGTGGGAACACTGTCACAGCCAGAACTCTGAGGACCAGCCATAAGTCCTCCTTGTTCAGCGCCGTCGCAAGTTTGAACGGTTGCTGAACGGGTGGTCATAACCTGAGGACCACCTGTATTTGAAAAAACAGAAGGGTTAAATGATGGAGAGGAGGTTGTTGGAGTTGTACAATGTGGATGGAAGGTACTCTGGGCTGAAGGAACAAGAACAGGAGGAGGAGGAACAGGACCCGAGGGAGCCATCTGCTGAGCATCTGGCTGGTGGAAAGGCCTGCAGGTTGGGGGCAGGATGGTGGGGGATAGATCAGACATCAGTGAGAAGAGTTTTGCAAAGAGGCTGGGATCCCAAATGCTCTGGAGAGGATTCTGTTGCCTTCTCTCCGCTTCTCTTGCCTCCCCAGGCTCAAGGTGATGCAGAAGGGAAAACATCTAAAGAAGCAGACTGAGTCAGAGAGGAGGAGGAGCAGATAAAGCCCTGTTTAAAAAGCCTGGTCTGGAATTCTCTGCATAGAACTAGGTATGTATGGCCTGTTGTTTAGGGTGCTGCAGGCTGTCCCTCCCCTCTGGTCCCCAGCCACCATCCTCCATGGCCCTTTGGCATGGACTGCCCAAGAGACCAGACACCGGGCTGCTGAAGAGGCATCAGCCTGCTGAATGCCTGACCGGCACGTCCTGAAGTGTCCGTCAGGTGTTCAACGGGCTCCTTGTAAACTTAGGTTTAGTGCTCCTTTGAAAGAGGGCTAAATTCGTGCTCAAAAATAGCTCGGCTGGCAGGTTGCAGGTGCAAAGGAGGGGCACGGAATGAAGTGGGGGGCCTCTTGGAGGCGCCCATGAAGTCCCTGGGAATCGAACTTGGCTTAAAGAAAACTTGTTAATACTTGAAAGTTGAAAGGCAACAAAAGACCGTTCTTCTAGGAGTGACACCCTAGAGTTATGCTTAATTTGTCCGCTGGAAGGAGGTTGCTGTTATTTTATTATTTGTGTATGGGGCAGGGTTGCTTGTTTAATGTGGAACAACATGAATGTTTCATAGAGGGGAGAGCATCGAGCTGGCCAATCTGGAAAAGCTAAACAGGGACGAACTTGGTACATGGATGGGAGACCACTAGGAAATCACAGGCCAGACTGGGAACTCGAAGAAGCGTTCTGGAAGAGTGACACCGCAAATCATTTGTGCATGCCAGCTCAGAAAACCACATGGTCACAGACTAGGCACCTTGAGAGTGTCCTTAATTTGTATCTTTAATTTTCCACGGGTAAATTAGAACCACCTCCCCCCTTTCAGATGTATAGATTGAGAGCCCCCAAACCTGGCTCCGAGGCAGGGTCTCCCGTTCTCACCTGACTGCAACAGGGGCTTGAGGACAACGGAGTTGATTCGTGCGAGACACGCAGAAAACGTCTCTTCGGCCCTTAGGAGTGAGGAGGTCACTTCAACGATGCTCATGTCCTGTGATAGTCGCGTGGGAAAAGAGCAGAAGGCAGAAACTCTGAGTTACAAGCTTGGACTCTTAAAAAATAAGCCAGGATTAAACTCTGGTTCATCCGCATCAGGTTTCGCACCAAAGGTGCATGATCATTCATTCATTCATTCATTCATTCATTCATTCATTCATTCATTCATTCATTCATTCATTCATTCATTCATTCATTCATTCATTCATTCATTCATTCATTCATTCATTCATTCATTCATTCATTCATTCATTCATTCATTCATTCATTCATTCATTCATTCATTCATTCATTCATTCATTCATTCATTCATTCATTCATTCATTCATTCATTCATTCATTCATTCACCGCATTTATATAGCCGCCCATCTCACCATCAAGCGACTCTGGGTGGCGTACAAGAAAGTTAGAAACGAAATATATCGATTAATATTATTTAAATGAAAAACTTAAAAAAAAACTTTAAAAATCATTATAAAAACTTTATCATGATTCGGGAGAGAGGAATGGAAAGGATTCATGCTTAAGAAGGGAAGGGCTGTGACGGGGACAGATCAAGAGTTAGATGGTAAGAATCCTTCTTTATTGTAACAGGGCAGCATTTCTCAACCTTGGCAGCTCTCGGATAGGTGGACTTCAACTCCCAGAATTCCCCAGCCAGCCATGCT